GAAGTAGAAATAGATCACAAATATCATAAACGAATTATTGTAGAAGTATGAATCACAGATATATCACAGATAACAGATTACAGAAATATAACAGATGAAAAATTGTAAATACATGAAGAACAAATACATGATAGATAAAGAAGTATAGATATATCAGTTATGAAAGAAAAAGATAAACAAAAAGGAGAACAATTTATACCTAATCGGACAGAGAGAAAGAAGAATAGTTTATACCTAATCGGACAGAGAGGAGCAAAATGGTGAGAAGGATCAGGGAGGTCTCTGGAGCACAGATTGAAAGTGACTTCTGTTTTAGGGTTGTGTGCGAATTGGGAAAAGAGAAAGTTGGTGAGGTCAGGTGCAATGAATTGGGTTACTTTTTTCAGATATAAATAGTGGATACTAATTCTACTCTCAAAAATTTTCTAATTGCAGCTAAAATCATAAATATACATGTAAGAACAAGCAAATATCAATAAAGAGGGTTTACTATCTAACCCAACAATCCAAACTCCTCATTTGAAAAATTAAAGGGACTTACATAATGAGAGATTACTTTTATATTATGCAAATATTTTTAATCCTAAAATATGTATCATTTTTAGGCATTTATTAATCTACCCATTACAATTTTATTATACCAACATACCTAAAATTGTATAAACTGTATAATAGGTTTAGATATAACAATAAATATGATTGTATTATATGATTATTATGATAGTCCATGAAATTGTCAAATGTAAGGATATGAATTAGCAAATTCAGGAAAACACATACCCATTTTGAAATGGTAACCCTTACATTTTAAAGAAGAAAAGGGTTTTATTGAAAATCAAGAGTCGTTTCTTTGAACCAACGAACTTAGTTTGAATTTTCCAATATATATATGTTAATACACACACAACACAAATAGATTTAAGAATTGGGACTGAAAAGGAAATGGAGTGAAAAACTTTTGAACTGGGAAAACCACCTTCATTACTTTCATGTTAACAAAGCAACAGGCTGAAATTATAAGATATATTCAAACTAAACTTTCTTACAAAAATAATTTAAATATGATTATTCGAAAAAAATGATAAGAAAATTATAACACGAGTAAACTAAGAATTTAAAACAAACCAGACATAGATTTATATAATCCACAATAAAAAAAGACCCTCGAGTATACACAAAAAGTTTAGATTTATCGAAACTTAAATTAATGTACAACAAAGAGAAACATAAATCAAATCCTGAATAAAAACACATACCCTTAGTTCCAAAAGTGATGCACGACAATAAAAATAAAATATAAATCAAATCACAGTAAAAAATACATAGAGCCTATAAATAATATATATATATATATATATATAATAGATAAAGAATTTTAGATATATCAACTATGAAAGAAAAAGATAAACAAAAAGTAGAATAGTTTATACCTAATCAAATGAAGAGAAGCAAAATGGTAAGAAAGATTGGTGAAATTTTTCGAGTACAGAATGAAAGTGAGTTCTGTCTTAGGATTGTATGTGAATTTAGAAAATAGAGGGTTGTTGAGGTTAAGTGCAATGAATTGGGTCGTTTTTTAGATAAAAACAGCTACTAATTTTACTCTCAAAAGTTTTTCACTCAAAGTTGTAATCATAAATATGCTTATAAGAACAAACAAATACTAGTAAAAAGGGTTTACTGTCTAACCCGACAACCCAAGCCCCTATTTTGTAACGCGTTTGTCAACTTTTGATACATGCCCTTTTTTCCTCTCTCAGATTCTATTTATTTTCCTTATCTAAATATGAGTTTTTAGATACAAAAAAAAATATAATCTCACCTTACCACAAGTATTACTGTGCTTTTATTTTTTAAATTCGTTAACAATAAATATTCGAAATTTAGTTAATAAAACCGTTATTTTTTGAGTTGACAGTTGAATTTGTCAAGTTCGTTAAATTCGTTATTTTTAATAATTTGATAAGTTATTTATATAACTTATATATGACAATAATTATTAATTATACATTCTTTTTTGGTAATGAAATTGTTTAAATTTATTAATAAAATTTCGATACACACATTGATTATCATTAATTAAACTTGCTATTTAATTGGTTAATTCCATATCATTTTAATTAATTTATCCGATGGAATATATATTCATCCAAATAAAAACATATATCGCATTATTGTAGTGAAAACACCAGAATTTTTATTGATGGTTGAAACAAAGAAAAACTCAAATTAAAATAGATTTTAGTTAACAATAGAAATTATGGTTTTAGTCAAGCACAGGACACCATTTTGCTCAATTTTTTTTTTTTATAGATATTCAATTGTCATATTTACAAGAGTTGACTTGTAGATAAATGGAAGTGTAAAATTTATTAATTTTGAAAAATGAAAGAAAAATAAAATATATTTAAATGTAATTTAGTTAAAGAAAATCTTCATATTCAAAGAATATTTTATTTAATTCTAAAAATAAATGACATTTTTAAGTTAAAAAATACATATTTTCTTAACATATTGAAATATATATATTTAAATTTTTAATAAACAAAAATAAAATAAAAAATAATTCTTTATTTTCCTTAGTAGATAAAGATCATACAAACTACAATTATTAAAAAAAAAGAAAAAAGTAAAATGGGAACACCCAAATATCTGACGAGATAATTATTCACTCTATAAACTTAGTAAACAATAAATAACGTACCTAAATACAACAACAATAATAAACACTTTTCTATTCCTTCTAAACTATGTAATTCTCTTAATAGTTTTTAAGTGAATTTTATTTTTCAAAACTATTTTCTTGCCGTTCATTGAATTCATATCGTATGTAATAGATCATAATTTTAACAATATAATCAAAAGTAATCATGCACTTCGTAATGAAAAAGCAAAACACGAAAACAAAAATAGTTAAATGTTAATAAAACACAACTATTATTTATTACAAAAGAAGCGCCAAATCATAAAAGGTTTAGCATCAAACCAACCTTGACATAAAATATTGTTCTAAAAGGTCTAAAATTCTCCATATTACCTTCAACAAAACCACAAAGCTCAATGATTCTTTGTTTCCATTCGAAGGCTTCAGTCCATAACCGCAAGATCCTTTTATTTGGATTCATGAGTTGAACAAACTCATGAAATCATAAAAGTAAAAAACTCGGAAGAATCAGAAGACTTTATGTATTGTGAAAAGGTAATGCCATAAAAAGGAAAACTAAACTATATATAAATATGTCTTTGACTTAACTAAACCCAACCATCTTTACATCCAATAAACGATAAAGGAAAATACGATGATGTTTTTTAAAAAGTCAAAACTATGTATGACCTAATATATGATTGTTCTGTCATGGTAGAATTAGTGAGCAGCAACATCCAAACCCTTTTCCTTGCAGATAGGGCAGGTGTTCTTTATCACCAGCCACTTTGTGATGCAGTTGAAATGAAACTCATGCTCACAGTCCAGTTTCCCAACTTCATCTCCTTCCTCATAGTCGTCCTGCACGTTGTGAACAAAACATGATTTAGGTTTAATGGATGATCATTTCATACCCTGTAAAACAAATCTCTTACCTGACAGATGCAGCATGCTTCAGGTTCAGATGGAGTAGAGTGATATGTCCTCAGGCCCAGGTTGTCAAGAATTATTGGCTCAGCTAAACCATTGTTGACGTAGCCAATTTGAGCTTCAAGCTCAAGCAGCTCCTAGTTAATAAATCATAACTTTGTTTTAAAAAAATACCAACATAGTATATATATATATATAGAGATATGGCACATAAACATGTATGTTTTTACGTATTTATGCATGTAAAGCATGTTTTCTGTAGTTAGGAAAATTTCTTGGCTTGTATATTATTATCTTTTGTAATCTTTGTGCTCTTCTTGAGTGAAATAACTGCTAAAAAAAGATATATGTAGGACTACCTCATAGTCCATGTCATCAACATCAAAACGCATGTCATCAACATCAAGACCCATCTCTCCATGATCATCCTCCTCTTCTTCTTCTTCTTCTTCTTCTTCTTCTTCTTCTTCTCCTTCTTCTTCTTCTTCTTCTTCTTCTTCTCCTTCTTCTTCTTCTTCTTCTTCGTTGTCTTCATCATCGCTATCGGGAATTTGAATAAAGGTATTCATATTGATGAATTCCTAGGATGCCATCATCCAATCCATGCAAAAGAAAACAATGCCAAGAATTAAAAACAAAAATGTTATCTGAAATTGACACTTCAGTTTAGCCTAGTTGCAAAAGAACATTCTTGTCTTCTCTTAACTTTAACCAACGTGGAATGAATGTTTTCTATACTGATATAGACTGTCACATCCTTTACAAAAGTATAGGCTATACTAATATATCCTCTACATCATTTTGGGAGACTTTTTATATGCCAAGTGATTGAAGTTGGAAACAATCCAAGTTTAAAATTCTCTTTTGAAAAACGTTTCACCTTGAAAGAAACGTAATTTTTGGTAAGTATAAAAGCATTTCATCAAAATCAACATGGAATTTGATTCGGATTACATGAAATCTTCTCTTGAACCTTACCTCTTTCCACTTATACTCATCCCTATGAGCATGTCTGAAAGCATAGCAGAGTTAAAATATATAGTAATCTAATTGTGCGCAGAAGAAAATTCATGTATCCTCATCTTAATGGATGAATCTAATTTTGATACATACCTGAACTGCAACAGCAGGAGCACCTGAAGGTGAGTTATTTGGAGCAGGTGGTACCTCAACACTTGGACCAGAAACATTTTGGGAAGACGAAGCAATGTTGCTAGGAACATTTGCATTTGTAACATGATGTTCACTAGATCCTCCATCAGTAACATGAGTTGCAGGAGAGGTAGCTGATAAGACACCTTCCAACCTAGTTACCTCGTTACTCAATTGAGAAAGTTGTGGACTTTGTACAAGATTTTGGATCTGTATAATAGGCAGTTGTGCTGCTAAAGTTGCATTAGCAGGAACCTGGGGTTCTGAGATTGCGTTAAGAACTTGACCAGGAGGAAGAACATCTTGTTGGTTTTCAATTCTCAATCGAGTATTTCTTTCGAAAACATACATTTGCCCTACCGCACTTGAAGCTTGTTGTGCATTAAGTACTTGTCCAAAAACCACTGTACTTCCTGGTACCACGCTTGAGTTTAGCTGTGGAGAGTATCCTGCAGCTTGCATAAGGTGATTATTCCAAGAGCCTGTTGAATTTAACCTGCCATGATTGAGATATGCTAAGCCATTTAAAGCAAGCTGTTCACTAGGATGATCTCCAGAGCTCTGTCCAGAGCTTGAATTACCACCAGCAAACAATTCCTGGAAAATATATTCAGGTGCTCTTCTTTTGCAGGATATACGCCTATCATCGTTTTCTTGTAGCACGTATCCCGAAATTCCAGAAGAAATTACAAGTGGGCCAGAAGGATTTATGGCAGATCTTGAGTTTCCTGAATCAAATGGACATAAAGATAGTCCTCTCCCCCAATCACGATTTTGGACAACTCCATTACCTTCAGGAGTTTCATTCATGTCTACATTCTGAGGGAGATTGCTCGAACCAGCTCCTTGAAAATGATCATAGTCATCTCTATTCAGCAATTGCCGAACGCTGAAATAGTTCCGATTCCCTGTAGAATTAGAGGATTCCCCTATAAACCTTTGGATAGTTTCTGCATTACTACTTGCAACATTAAGAGCCACATTTTGCTGATTCGATCCATGACTATTGATGTTAATTCCATGGCCAGACACAGAGCTTCTTGGGAAGCAATTGGAGCATCTGAGTTGATTTTGCATGATGCAAAAATTTCAGTCCTCCAACAACCAATAATCAGCAGAAGCCCCTCTGAAAATATGGTTTCTACAAAAACCTCAAAATAAAAGAAGCAAGCTACATCAGGATTATATTTGGTTTGAGTTTGTCTTGATTCCAGTCTAAAGTATTGATAACTACTGGAACGACAAATATATATACTCATGATATGGTAAAAACCTAGGTTGAACTATATCTAATTAATAAATAACAACATGAACTATTTATTTGTATAACAACATTGTCAACAATGAATCTCTTAACATTTTAATAACTTAGAATGGAATAAATCAGATTTTCAAGATGTAATTGCTATGTGAAAGTATCATGTTTATAACTGGGTGGCCGCGATTTGTTTGAGTTGTGAGCGAACAACTTATTAACGAAAAGTATAGATACACTGTACAAAACTTAATTTTCAAAGTTTAATCCTAAATTATTATACTTCTATAAACATGATTTTAGGGTAGAATGCATGTATTCAATGAATTTATTATATTTCTATAAACTTTTGATGAAAATAATACATGGAATGCAATAATAAAATAAGAAAATTCAAAGGCAAATATTTGTAAGTCCATGAAAATAAAGAAGAAAAGTAAAGTTTAATATGAATAATACTAAAACTTAAAAAGGTAAATATTTATACCTTCTGATAGTAATAATCAAATGCTAATTATAAACCCAAACCCATATATGGATTGTGAATAACAAAATTATAGTATATGTGATTGACCGATGTAAGTATATAACCTGTAAATAATTGAAAATGTATATTCATCAATACCCTTCATAGGAAAATGAAATATCTAATCCCAAAGTATGATTGTATCATATGATTAATATGATAGTCCATGAAATTGTCAAATGTAAGGATATCAATTAGCAAATACAGGAAAATACATACCCAAATTTGCAAATATTCATCGAATGGCACCAGCTAAATTTTAAAAGAAAAAAGGGTTTTATTGAAAATCATGAGTCGTTTCTTTGACCAGCGAATTCAGTTTGAATTTTCCAATATATATATATATATATATAGAGAGAGAGAGAGAGAGAGAGAGAGAGAGCAACCCGAAAATTTTGAAAATTGTGAATTTCGAAAAAGCAACGGGCTGGAAGTATAACGTATGTTCTCGACTTTCGTACAAAATAATTGAAGTAGGATGAAACGAAAAAATAATAATAATAAAAAAATTAGAACATGAGTAAACTGAAAATTACAAATCAGACAGAGGAATATAAATCAAATTTTGAATAATAACATATACCCTTTGGTTCAGAAGTGATGCACCACAACAAAAATAAAAGGGTAAATTAAATTATGAATAAGAACACATACCCTTTAAGTCTAACAGTGATGTATCAGAACAAATTAAATCACAATAAAAAATACACAGAGCTTGTAAATAACAAGAAATGATCATGAAAATATCAAATCATATATAAAAAAACTGATTTTGGACAAAATTAATAAAAAGAGTAGAATGAGTATCACTCATGTATGAAATTCAAATATGTCAATGTACACCCACACAGAAACACACAAGAAAATAAAGATAAACTATCAACCTATTAAGCATAGATAGATCACAGATAAAAGATTATCTATATATGAAGTAGAAATAGAATACAGATATCATAAACGAATGATTGTAGAAGTATGAATCAAAGATATATCACAGATAACAGATTACAGCAATATAACAGATGAAAAATTACAGATACATGAAGAACAAATACATGATAGATAAAAAAGTATAGATATATCAGTTATGAAAGAAAAAGATAAACAAAAAGGACAACAATTTATACATAATCGGACAGAGAGAAAGAGGAATAGTTTATACCTGATCGGACGGAGAGAAGCAAAATGGTGAGAATGATCAGGGAGATTTCTGGAGCACAGATTGAAAGTGACTTCTGTCTTAGGGTTGTGTGCGAATTGGGAAAAGAGAGTGTTGGTGAGGTCAGGTGCAATGAATTGGGTTGCTTTTTTCAAATATAAATAGTGGGTACTAATTCTATTCTCAAAAATTTTCTAATTGTAGCTAAAATCATAAATATACATGTAGGAACAAACAAATATCAGTAAAGAGGGTTTACTGTCTAACCCAACAATCCAAACCCCTATTTTGTAACGCCTTTGCCAGCTTTTGGTACATGTTCTTTTTTCCTCACTCGACTCCACTTATTTTTCCTCTCTAAATATGAGCTTTTATATACAAAAAAAATTATAATCTCATCTTACCACAAGAACTACTGTGCTTTTATTTTTTGAATTCATTAACAACAAATATTTAAAATTTAGTTAATAATACCGTTATTTTTTTAGTTGACCGTTAAGTTCGTTATATTCGTTAAATTCGTTATTTTTTAACAATTTGATAAATTATTTATATAACTTATATGTGACAGTAATTATTAATTATACATTCTTTTTTTGGTAATCGAATTATTCTAAGTTTATTAATAAAATTTCGATACACACATTGTTGATCATTAATTAAACTCGCTATTTAATTGGTTAATTCCATATCATTTTAATTAATTTATCCAATGGAATATATATTCATCCAAATAAAAACATATATCACATTATTGTAGTGAAAACATCACAATTTTTATTGATGGTTGAACCGAGAAAAACTCAAATTAAAATAGATTTTAGTCAACAATAGAAATTATGATTTAAAGCTTCGAACAAACAATATATAATATGGAAATCTATAATAGAAATTATGGTTTTAGTCAAGCACAGGACACCATTTTGCTTAATTTCTTTTTTTTTTTAGATATTCAAATTTCATAAATTGATACTAATATTATGTGCAGTTTGACCAAATAAAATTTTTAATCACAAAATAAAAAAAAAATGTGTTAAAATTAGAAGGGGGCTTATGAAATATGTCTATAGATATAGCAAGACACATACATTTGAATTAATAGCCTAAACCATAAATTAAAATCTACATATGGTTATCTAAGATTTATTACCCTTTTCAGATTTTTGCCCTCAATAATCCCAATTTAAGATAATATAATTTCAAAATTTTCAAATTTCTTTTACTTTCTGATTGTCATCCTCATTTGAAAAATTAAAGGGACTACCATAATAAGAGATTACTTTTATATTATGCAAATATTTTTAATCCTAAAATATGTATCATTTTTAGGCATTTATTAATCTACCCATTACAATTTTATTACACCAACTTACCTAAAATTGTATAAACTGTCAAATAAGCTCAGAGATAACAACAAAATATTATAATTTAATTATTTACTTTACTCATTTTTTATTAAATGAATAAGTATGAAAAAAAATATGGTACTAAAACAAAAATAGGGAATGATGAGAAATGTTATATTTTTTGAATGATAAGAAATGTTAGATTTTTTTATTGCTTGAGTTTGATTTATATAAATAATTTTGAAAAATAAAATCAGCATATTAATATTAAGAGAAAGACTTTACCCTCATGAGTTTTCAAAACTAACCTACGAAAATAATAATCCGAATAACATTGTTATTTCATATCCAAATGAACAATAATAATAAGTTACCTTATTACCTGCTTACCAATACCTTTGGAGACCCATAGGGATTCCCTCTTACGCATGGACCCAATATCCATCGATTAACTAATAAATCAAAGTGCATGTGGTAAGTAAACCGAACAGCCTAGATACAAATGAGCAGTGCAGATAAAATAAGCAATTACATACTAACTAGTTCCGCCTCCACTGATGACCTGTAATTAATTTTAGGGTATTTCTAATTTTTGCAAATCATAATATTATTAATTATTAATCTTCAATTTATCATAATGGAAAAAATAGTGATGGATTCTTACCCCAAATCAGTGTTCGAAACACCGTGCTTTCACTGTGCCTCCTGGCGGTCCCCAGATTTTTTGATTTTTCCTGCAAAAATTAAAAATATTCATCATGTATCTAAAAATACTCTAAAAGGCCAAAATAGGCATTTTAAAATCTTTTTCTGCCAATTTAGGGTTCCGGCATGGCATCGTTGTTGTGTTCCGGTGACGACCGTCTGCAGTTCCTCTCGACTTGGCCCTTTTTGGCCGATTTAGTTTAATTTTGGCCAATTTTGCATAAAAACATACAAAAAACCAAGTTATGGGACCTCTGTTGGCCGGAAAAGGTAAAATCGAAACCCTACCGACACTTCATCATTCCTCCTTCACGGTTGGAGTTCTCCTTCGGCTAACCTACACTAAAAAAGACGAAACACACATGTCGGACCCACTACTTACAAT